AATACCAATTTCAATACTTAATGCTTTCAAAAGCTTTAATAAAAGTCATTAAAAAACAACAACAGAGATTTCAAAAGCCGGTGAATAAATTGTGTTTTGGTGATTTTGACGCGGTTTTAAAACTCGTAAATGTCCCGATTTCGAGGTTATTCGGAATTATTACCGAATGCCTTTTACTTTCTTATGATTACCGTGGGATACTTATTACATGTTTAGGTTTTAAAAATTAAATCATTCTATTTTTATATTTGTCTTTCTTATGGTATTTTCTAATGCACTGGGCACTTCTTAAATAGTAAGAAACTTTGATATATTTAATAGCTATTCCAAGTACTAACATCAGCGGAACATGTTAGTTGGTATACATTATATGTAACAATATTATAATATCATGATAGTCTAATTCACGAGAGAATTCCTAAATGGTTGATATCTGCTGTGTCTACTGGTAAACGTTCGAAGGATAGAAAGACCGAAGCGAAGGTGGGAAGATTGCGTTAAAGCCAATCTGAAGGGACCGAGGTTGGATGACGGCCGGATTGCCACATTTTAAATCAAACCAATGGGCTAACAGGTTTATGTACGACAGAAAGATCCTTACAGAATCTAGAATGGAGGTGTGTAGACAACGATTGGTGGTGTCGGCATCGAAACATAGGATTCGCTAAGCCTTTTATTATTATTATTATTATTATTATAATTAAATAGACAAAGTTTCAAATCTGTAGCGATTTCCTAAATTGTTCAATTTTTGTGTATTTCGTTGGAGTTGGCGAAGCTGGTAATCTCTTTCGACTAGTAATATAATATAGTAATGAATCGTATAAAAACTTTCCGTGGGTGAAATTTTGATTTGTCTTATATTATTTATTTAAATAATAAAATACCATTATGATGAAAAGCCGTGAGTAATGAAAAGCCCCAAGAGATTTGTGTTCGCGGTCCATTTACTAATATTGGAAGGAAGGAGCTCACTACGGCACATTTCCAATCTCTGAATGGCACTCATCATAATGAACTTTTTTTCTTCTGTGTTGTACAAAAATGACACAGTCTAAGATTCGCTGAGATAATTCATATCCATTTAAACCTTATGTAGATTCAGTGCAATCGTCTCAATGAACATTAGTGGTAATCAAATATTCTTTGGTAGCTCATGGATTTATTAAATAATACCATAAAGTTGAAAAATAATAAAGCATGAAAGTAGTAGACGATACATTGAAGTACCACCAGCTGTTAAAACTCTTACTCATTCTATTTCGTTTATTACTCCCATTCGCTTGTCTATACTTTATGCTCTCTTATCCCCTATTCTACCTCAGTGGTTGCTCCATTTTAACTTCAACTGTTACTACTTTTTTTTTTGTTTATATCGCCAGCTCATATCCTGTCTTTTAAATTTTATTTTTGTCGTTGGACCAATAAAACGTCAAGTAATATTGTTTTTTTTTTTAGTTTTTTTTTCAGTAATGTAATAGTCATAAAAAAAACAAAAAAAAAAACATGAGTCGGACATATGAATCAGTATAAATCTTTTTTAAATTTTATGATTTAACAAGCATGTTCATGTGATTATATTTCTGTGTACACATTTACTCCCTTTATTTATATTCTAATACAGTTGTAAATATCTTGAATAAATAGTTAAAAAAAAAATGTTATGATTCCTAAAAATACCATTCTATGTATAATACAAATTTATATATAATTTCTTATGAAAAAGATTTATCCACATAAGCTAGAAACATTATCTATATTCAACATTTGATAAAATTTATTTTAAATGTAGGAACGTCATTCGCTCACTTTTTGTAGATCAAACCTTACCGAATTTTCAGCTCTTTATAACTGTATACCATAGGAGGGCCGATTGACATTTTTAAATATTCAGTACCATTCGAATCACTGCTCAAAATCGAGAAAATTATTCTTTGTTGATACCTTAATTTGAGTTCTATATGTTGGTGCTAGAGAAACATGTTTACGGGATTTGAGTGCGGTGATACGACTTCAAATTCCGGGCGCTTTAACTGCCGCTTACTTTCTCAAATTATCTACATGCAGCATATTATAATTGGATGCTCTTTCAATATGATTGCAATGAATTTGAATACATTTTGTTTGATTCCTTAATAGAATGCATGATTCCTTGAATGCATCAAGAGATGCATAGATTTTGAGTATCGGGGAAGGAAGCAACGAAAACAGCTGTTTTGTGTGAAATAAGTAACCAGTTAACTTGTTGTAACTCCTCACCTGGTTCTTACATTAAGAAGCTATTCCAAAAATATTTAGAAGAATATATGGTCTAAGCTTTGTTTGGAGTGATAATTTCGATAAAATATATAGTTTCGGAAACATGGCCAAAAAACCATAAAAAGTTCGAAAATTTCGCTGATTTTTGCAAACATCTTGGAACTCAATCAAACACTTCGTTTTACAACTTCAAATTCAGATTCTACACCCTAAAAAATATATTAAATCGAAGAGAAACAAGAAGAGAGACTATTTTTTCCACATTCTACCGAGCATATCGACAGTCGATGTGTATTCTAAAATTTTAGCCGTCAGTTCTACCGTTAAATGAAACGTCAAATGTTTCCACTTGAATTTAAATTATAGAGAACAACGACTTTCAATCGACTGATCGATGTTGTGCATTCTGATGAGGTTTATCTACAATTTAAAATGGTTACTTAATTAACTTAATAACTTAAGTCCTTCAGTTAAATTAAATGATCGGTAGCTACCTATCCAGCTCGAATAGTCCGAGACGGAATTCAGCTTTGAGATCGCGACGTTTTTATCAAAAAATAACATATCTCCACCATTTTTCAGCTAATATTAAAAAATATTTTTCGGAACATTCCTCTTTCTTAGTACTACAAAAAACATTGGAACGTTATTTTCTATTTTTCAATTGTTTCAAAGTTATGAGGTGTGACAGAATTAAAATCAAGAAAATTTCGATTTTTTCATCCCCAAAAGATCAATTCGCAACTCGTTTATCATTTTTTTTACCAGGTGAACTTGAATGGAAACCAAAATGAGCATCCTTGCCGATTATATTATTGTTTGCAGAATTCAAGAACGGTGGTTTTTGGCAGGGATATGAGAAACAACATAACATAAAACAGAAAGTTCTAGGTGACCATCTTTGACCATCCATTTTGGATAGAAGCGGACATGAGATTTGAGCTCACTTTTCATGGTTGGTTCAACATTCGATAACGAACTAATACCCACATTTACAGCCAATTATGATTTTTCTTGATATCTGCCTTGTATTAATGGAGTAAAAAAGTGAAATTTCAGAGCATTAAATCATTTAGAACTTTGGTGAATTTCCCAATACAAAATTGGAATATTGTGCACTTGTAACTATATTTGATATATAAAGTATTTTTTTATTTTAGTACACTGGATGTATTTGTTTATCGATGAATAAAGTCGAAATTCAGAAAAGAATTCCTAAAAGTTCTGTTCCATTTATAAATGATATAAATATCATTATAATTAATTTTTCGTTGAATTATTATAATAAGCACGAATCTTTTATTGGCATGAAGAAAGTTAATTTAGGTCCAATCCTTGTTTTCAGAAGAGACTAAATTAAAAATCTTGTCAAGGCTTTGGTAGAGCTTTGAGGCATTTAATCATGTCTCTCCCTCTTTTTTCTGAATCATATCTTGAATCATTATTATAAATAGAAATAAAATTGAAAAAGAAAAGTAAAATAGCAACAATTTTCAATATACAAATCTGCATGACAAATCTCATCAACTGAGTTTTTTTTAAAATTAAATTCGTCTGAATTTTACTAACGAATTTAGTTTTATTTGCTGCTATAATATATGTTTTAACCATTTAACTAAATTATATGTAAAGTGATTAAGATATGATTGCCTTGGTTCAGAGTAAATAAACACGCTGATTGAATGATAATACTAATATATAAAAATTGTTATGATATAATTTGGATTCTTCACCGGAACCATCTCATGGCATTTGATTGTATCGCAGTTTAGGGCTTCGAGTTCCTTTTAGAATTTAGAATTCTTGCATAAAAAAAAAAATTGCGCGCTTCTTCCATTGCCGTTGAATTCAGACATTAGCAAAAGCATTTTATTAATTAAAATAAAATAATAATTGATATTAATATTACTGTATTTAACATTAAAAATTAATTAATTTAAAATGCAGTATTTAAATACTATGTATTTGGTATTTTAAAAATAGAGTGTATTATATTTACAAAACATTTGAATTGTTTCAGTAAAAAGTATTTCAATTAAAAAATGTCAGAAGTATTTTGTATTTTAATACAAATAAAAATATTAAAATCTTATGATATGGCACTGTACAGCTTATCACTAGTGGATCCAGGATTTAATTTTGGGAGGGGCTTCAGCCCGAAAGATTTTTTTCGCCATATACATATAACGATATTTAATTTGAAAAAAAAAAAGAAATAAATTAACTACCTATATGAATTGGTGTTTAAGTGGTTCCTGAAGTCCTATTAAATGTAAATATAGGAACAAGAATACTTTAAGAGATAGTTTTTAATATTTTTTTTCTGTAAAACATGGTTATATTTTACCATTTTTGGGGGATGGGCTTTAGCCCGAATGTCCTCCCCCCGTTGATCCGCCTGTGCTGCTAATTCTTAAAATATAAGTTTAGTTTATTTAAGCGAGGATACAGTTGATTTTGATAGTTTCATATCCTTTCTTTCAATAATATACATATCAAGGTTATTTTTTATGTGATTATTCATTATTTTTGGACAATTTTTAATACTTATTAATATTATATCGTGTATGATTATTATTATTATTATTTATATTTATTGATCTGCACCTATCGATGAACTGTTAACAATCAGCAGAAAGTCTTCCCACGCTCAGTAATACCTTTTCTTTGGCTTGATTCAATTACTGTGTTTTAATTTTGCACTGTCTTGATATGTACTATATTTATTCTTTGCTTTTTAGGGCCTTAACATGCTAGCTGCTCTGATACTTCAAGTTATGCAAGGATTCCAAGGCGAGACTGTAAAAGTAAGCTTTAGTTGTATAATTCTTATTCATATATATATGAAATGAAATGATATAGCCTTTATTTTATGGAAAGATTAATACATAACACAGTTAAAAAGGAAGGAGATGGTCCGGGGTGGCGGTCATGAATAGGTTAAATAGTGCTAAAACTATTTTATTAAAAGCCAATGTTTCCCCAATTCCCCAATTACCTGCCCTTACCCTGGTTTTCGAGTTCTAAGTGAAACCCCTAGCTGAAGACACCTGTAAGTCTCTAATTTTTTTTCTTCTAATTTTATTTACTTATTTATTTAGTTTTTGGTTTTCTTTTCTTTCTCCACATTCCTTTATGTCTATTATTTCATATTATATCCTTTTTTCTTTTCTTTCAATCTCTCCTGTACATCTGTAGAAGTATATTCGCATTTGCATATATTATATATTACACTACATTACCATATATATATTGTTACCATCTATTTACTTCAGTTTAGGATCTTGTTACTTAGCTTACTCTGTTTATATTTTAATGTACTTACTGTTTATATTTTTAATAAGCTTATTCACATTGTTTATAATTTTTTGTCTAAATATTATGTAACGTACACAATTCTCTATCTTTTTGTATCTTGTCCGTTCTAGTCCTGAAGAAGACCTGCAAAGTCGGGTCGAAACGTTGGCTTTTAATAAAATAGTTTGCTACTATTTGGCATATTTATGAACGCCACCCCGGACCATCTTCTTCCTTTATAATGCAAACTATTAAATATTCAACAATACATTTAAATAAATATTTTGATGAAGTATGAAAAAAAAAATAATAAATTCATTGTTTGTTTTTTCCTTCTTCCTACCGTGCATTGGTCTTCCCTTTCGGGAGTCAGCGCTTTCCTAGGTGACTAGCCCTGTTGGGATGCGAGTTCCGACCACTTCTCCTTCCAGACATCCCTGTCTCTAGCACCTTTCCTCCATAAGGGCCCTAGTAGCTTTCCTTCAACCGCTTAAACGCATCGCTCCACCTTTTCTTTTGACACTCTCTTCTTTTTTTCACATTATATGGAGTCCAGTAGGTGACCGTTCTTCATCTATTATCTTTGCACCGAAGGATATGCCCATCCCATTTCCATTTCCTTATTCTTGTCCGCTTAAGTGTGAGTTCTATTTCTTTTTTGATCCAGTCGTTTCTCACTCAGTCCTTTTTCTTCACATTCATAATAAACCTTTCGATGTCATTCTGCCACACCTGGATCTTCCTCTCTTTAAGTTTTGTGAATGACAAAGCTTGGCATCCATAAATAACCACTGGACAGGCAACTGTCGAAGACCTGTCTTTTCAGGTCAATGCTTATATCACTTTTCATAACGTGCTTTTGATACCGAAAACTATTCCAGCCAAGTCCTCTATCTGCGAATTATACTAACTGGCCCAAGTAGATATACTCCTCTACATATTCCATACCGTTGGTATTTACTTTACAATCACCTTTTCTCCTATTTTTCATTAATTTAGTCTTCTGATACTTGCGGTAAAGGTTATATATAAGTATATTATACAATTATATATATATAATATTTTATATATATTTAAATATTGCATCTTCCCATTCAAATTATACTTAGTACTAGGGTAGTAGGGTCGTAGTCGTAGGGTATTCTCCATTGTAGCGTGAAATAGGTTCCTGTAGACCTTTTGAGGACAATTCCCTTGCCACTATTGCATTTGGAATTGAAATTGCTCAGACCTTATCGTAGATTAGCATAGCCAATAATACCCCTTCTAGCCCAATGGGACTATACTCTGTATCACTGAAACCAAAATAGAATATTCTGATCATATGCAAACAAATTTCGTTTGAAGATATCATCTCATATTTAAATAATAAGCATCGCTATTCTATCAAATGGATATGGATACATATCCTCAATATTTTATGAAAAAGAAATGTTCACATTGAATATATAAAGTGAAAATCATTATATTTCTAAAAATTTATATATTTTTCAAATATGATTGGAATGTCATCGGTCTAGCAATTTAATTTCTATGAAATAAAACAACAAAATTAAATAAAAAAATTAGGAAGAGAGGTTAACATTATACCATAATATTTATTAAACATTATTATTACAATAATAATTTACTAACTTCATGATAATGGTTTGAATAATTGATAAATGATAGTGCGTTATATAAAATCAATTTATTTTTTTAGCATAATTGGGAGTATCTATTGTGATACAGGGACATTTTGGTAATAATGTTTTTTGAGAAGAAGTTGATCGGGGGGTGCGGTCAAATAAGTTATTTGACCACACCCCCCAATCAACTCCTTCTCTTATTATGTCACGGTCAAATATCTCTACATCATAATAATGTTTTTTTTTGTATTGCATTTGATGTTTACATGCTGGATGAAATTTAGGGACTTGTCAAGTTCAAGGCCTAAATATTTTACTAAATTGGACCCTGAGATCTGTTTGTCTTTTATGAGTATGTTATGGGTTATACCTGTTGTTCTTTTTGTGAAAATTATTACTTCTGTTTTTCGTTCAATTAATTTTATTAACATTTTGTAGATTTCTAAGCTTTGTTTATTTAGGTTGGCCCAAATGCCTTTTAATACCACTTTAGGCTTAATCTCATGTTTAGGAGCATAGGTATGGAAGTTATAATTAGGTAATTTAAGTTTCTTTTTTTACGTTTATGAAATCTTTCTTATTATGTACATAAAAATAATTTTATATCCACCGTACTTGATATTTATATATTTTACTGAATTTTTAAGTTTTGTAATCATTTCCTTGTGATTTGAAAATGAGTAATTAACTACTATTGGGGGAAATTCTTGTAAGTCAGAATTTTTACTAGTTTGGGCAGAGATCTCTTCCTCATAGCAAGTAACTATTTTGAGTAGGAATGTTATATAAGGTTGACTCACTTCTTTTTTTGGAGCTGAATTAAAGTGTCCATTATTTTTTTTTAAGTACTACAAGTTTTTTCTTCGTCTTCCATGATCACTTTACTCCCCAAAAGAGCATTCTTACTTGAAAAATTATTACCGAAAATAATATGAAAGTTTGAGTTTATCAATATTAAAACTAAATTCATATTTTAAATAATACTATCTGGAAACTGAAATAAATTAAAATAAAACGAAACAATTAAAGTAGAGGTTATATTGTCTTTACTTGGTGGCTGCTAGAGTTAGACTCCATATACATAAATGAATCAATATTAGATTTGTAGATTAACAGAAATATAAATTTTAGTAAGGCTGGTTTTTGTTCAAAAGGCTGTTGATGCTTAAAAAAAAAAAAAGGAATCATTATTTTTTCTAATAATGATTCTGCGACTTACATTAGTATAAACAGTTTAACTCATAGACCAGTCTATTTTAAATATAGACTAGCCTTAGACTTAAGCTAATTGTACCAACCAAAAAAGTATAATTTCTGATCAAGAAGATACAAAACAAAAAAATCATAATGAATAGAAATACTTGCTTAATAATTTGACTACTATGGAAGTAATTTCATCAAATCCTAAGAAATTGGAGGGCTGTTCATAGTATGTATTATCCAAGTACACTCTGTTTAAAGCATAAACAGTCCATTCTTTTCAATGGACAACAAACCAAACAAACATTATTAACCACTTCAGAATATCATATTTTTCGTCGTTATCTTGCTGGAAAATAAAGTTTTGCCCAATTCGCTTAAGCCTAGGTAGTATTGTACGGTACCTAAGCATGCTCTATGGTATAGTTTTCGTTCCAGTTTTCCATCTATTCACAAGAAGTTTCGAATTCCGGTTCTAGAAACACGCCCTCAAACCATTAAGAAGCCAAATCCGTGCTTTATTGTTGGTTGTAAACATTAATCCGAAAATCCTACTCCATATTTTCTCTATGATACTGCCTTCTTCCGAAATCAAAAACTTTAATTCACATCTCCATAAAACATAAACATTTATTCCATTCGTCTAATTTTTGCGGTTTTTTTTGGCAAATTTAAGTCGCTTTTGCTTGTTTATAACCTTTAAGGCAAAATGATAGGAGTTTTCTTCTGTTCAAGAAGGACGAAACATGGGTCTCTGTTGCATAGGGGTAATTTTCTGAGCCATCTGTCTACTAGATATTTAGCGGTTGTTAGTGTTGCCCAAAATCGGTCTTGGTCTTGCAAAGTGTAAGACCAAGACCAGGACTGGTAAAAAAAATCGATTATTTTTAGTAAAAATTAAAGCAAAGTAGTTACTAGTACTTGATAATCTTAGTTACTATATGTTAATAATTTTTATAACCAATATAATTTTGCATTTAACTCCTCTAATTTTTCATTCGGGCTTAGTTAGGTTTCTCCTATCTAAAAAAATACAGTAATATCTCTATAGTAATAAGCTAATAAGTAACTGCAAGACTCTTGCGAGACTCTTGCGCAAGACCAAGACCACGACCAAGACTCGTCTCGGTCTCGCATTTGGGCAACACTAGCGGTTGTGCAAACACAATAATTTTAAATATTGTTCAGTAGCTAGAAAATGTTGATTTGACCTGCCTGAATCCTCCAATGGACTTGGTTATTTAAAAATGTTAGATGGCAAAATGATTTCCAGAAACATAATCTTCAACTTCTTTTAATCTTCAACATAATTTCCCTGATCGTAAGTTCTCATTGAAGCAAAATTAGAATTTTACGACGGTCAAAAATATGATATTTTGCCATTTACTGAAATAAAAGTAAGATCCTAAAGAAAAAAAGATATATATGAAATATGGAATGGTTAATTAAATTACAGATTAAAAAAAAAGTTCCTGATGATTGATTGATTGATAAAGTTCCTGATTCAGATTGAGAAAAATGTCCTGAGAAAAAGTTGTTACAAAATATAGTAACTAACTTATTTTATTTCTGGCTACCTGTTTTTAATCGACCCAACAGTAACAAATAATGTTTTATAATGTATTTAAGAGGCTTTAAATCTATTAGAATTCGTATAAAATAAGTTTTACTTGTATGAACCA